TAGACCTTCAAAATTTATGTGTTTAAACTTTGTTAGTGTTGTTTCTTTGCAATTCTTTTACCCTTCTTGGTCAGAGCGATGTAGTGGGAGCTGCAAGCTTCACGTGTCTCAACTTTGTCAGAGAACTTTGGCAAAGTTATTTGTGGTACCCATGAGCTACTGTTGCGTGTGGGAAGTGGGTGATTGAACAGTACGATTCATGATTCATGTGCTTTCTACTTCGTCCAGAAATCTTCGACAGAATGCCCATAATTTCCGCAAAGCTGAGTGTGCGTGTGACAGGTGCTGACAAGGCTGGAAAAGTAGGTGCCTCTTCGATTTCTGAGAGCGGCCCTCGTGGTCTCTGATCATCCCAGCTTTTGAGAAAGCAAGCCTCTTTGATTTCTGAGATCGGCCTTCGTGGTCTTTGAGCAGCCCAGCTTTTGAGAAAGCAAACGCCTCTTCGATTTCTGAGATCGACCCTCGTGGTCTCTGAGCAGCCCAGTTTTTTAGAAAGCAAACACCTCTTCGATTTCTGAGCAGGCGCCTCTTCGATTTCTGAAGCTTCGTCGAGTGCAGATTTTTATAGGGGCTGACATTAAGTTCCAAAGCACACTTGAATATCCACCAGTAGAAGCTCCATTCTTGCACTTCTAAGATCTTGATTTGTCCGACCTCTTCTCTCTTCAACACCTTTGAAAATGTCTGGCCCCTCCGACCGTCGTTTTGACTTGAACCTTGTTGAAGAGGCAGCCCCGCCTTCTCCAGACAACATATGGCGCCCATCCTTCGTCTCCCCTACTGGTCCTCTTACCGTTGGGGATTCCGTGATGAAGAATGATATGACCGCTGCGGTAGTGGCCAGGAACCTTCTCACTCCCAAAGATAACAGACTACTTTCCAAACGGTCTGATGAGTTGGCTGTTAAGGATTCTCTGGCTCTCAGTGTTCAGTGTGCAGGTTCTGTGTCTAATATGGCCCAACGCCTATTTGCTCGAACCCGCCAAGTTGAATCATTGGCGGCTGAAGTGATGAGTCTCAAACAGGAGATTAGAGGGCTCAAGCATGAGAATAAACAGTTGCACCGGCTCGCACATGACTATGCTACAAACATGAAGAGGAAGCTTGACCAGATGAAGGAATCTGATGGTCAGGTTTTACTTGATCATCAGAGATTTGTGGGTTTGTTCCAAAGGCATTTATTGCCTTCGTCTTCTGGGGCTATACCGCGTAATGAAGCTCCAAATGATCAACCTCTGATGCCTCATTCTTCTAGGGTTTTGTCCAGTACTGAGGCTCCGAATGATCCTCCTCCGGTGCCTTCTCTTTCTGGGGCTCTACCGACTGCTGAGACTTCTCCTAAGCAACCTTTGTGAAGGCTCCCTCTTGTTTGTTTATTTTGACTCAAGTATATGTACATATTTGTAACTTATCGGGGATATCAATAAATAAGCTTTCCTTCATTTCAACGTATTGTGTTAAATACACCAAAGCCTTCTTCGCTAAGTTCTTTGAATTTTCTTTTGTTGAAGCTTGTATGTTGAAGCTTTGTGAGTGGAGCATATAGGTTGAGGTAGTGTTCCCTTAATTTCCCGAGTGAGGAAAACTTCTTGGTTGGAGACTTGGAAAATCCAAGTCACTGAGTGGGATCGGCTATATGAATCTTAGAACGCCATTGTGTTCTGTCCTGTGTCATGTCCTCCGTTAGATCCAAGTACTCTAAGTCTTTTCTTAGGGTCTCTTCCAAAGTTTTCCTAGGTCTTCCTCTGCCCCTTCGGCCCTGAACCTCTGTCCCATAGTCGCATCTTCTAATCGGAGTGTCAGTAGGCCTTCTTTGCACATGTCTAATCGGAGCGTCAGTAGGCCTTCTTGAATTTGTCACCAGCATCTGGAAAATGAGCTATCAGGTTGTAATAAGTGTAGGCATTACAATGTGTTTGAAAAGAAGGGTTCTTCGGCTAATTTGAGTATTCTCATAGTTTTAATTTCCGTCTGATTGGGCATATCATTAGGGACTAAATCTTCACACGATGTAACACAATTAAGTTTTTTGATTTATGAGATGGTGGGAGATGATTTAGACTAGTGCTCTGATTAATGTTTCTTAGTTCTTCATGCTTAACAGTATTCTCTCGCACAAATGGTTTTTCATTGCGATTGTATGAGTATAGAACGATTTGGTGAATCGGGGATGCTTATAAAATTTAGAAACTAGTTGGGAGAGGTAATGTATTGGTTTTAGACTATTTAGTTCCTGATACATGCACGCATCCGTGGTATTATAAAACGTATTCTCATTATAACTTTTTGAAGCCTCAATGGAAGCTCAAACAAATTGTTTTATAATTTATTTGCCGGTTGAGGATTGCACATATTAGTTTTACAACCAGGGCAACTTGATTTTCTTAACTTTCTCAAAATACTTCTCTGCGAATACAAATTGCACTATAAAATAGCTTATGCAGCTGACTAAATACTATATTCATTGATCGTGCAGCATTGGTGTTCCTTATCTACGCATGGAGAGCTGTCTTGCTGGAATTAGCTAACTGGAGAAAGGCTGCAGTGGGCGTTGTCAGTTTTGTGGGATACCTCTTGAAACTTATCCTGGCCCTAATCTTCCATTTCATTGGTGATCCCATTACTTCTGTGATCAGATTCGTAGAAACAACACTCTATGCCATACGCGCTTTCTACTCTGGCATAGTGGCATACGCTCCAATTCCAGAGTTGACAACAGTGATCATACTGGCATCCATTGTTCTTGCTATCGCAGAAGCTGTTGTTCCAAACGCCGTAAACTGTCAACCCTTTCTTCTCACAGCATCTGGCATAGTAGCCTATGCAGCAGTGGCAGGTTACATCTCAGAGCCTTTCTTCTGGACGATTCTATTGGGGTTCTACGGTTACTCACGATTAGTTAAAAAGAGGGATGATGTTACATCCGCATTGCCTGCAGCAGCTGTGATGGCTGCCATAGGAGAACCATGGGTTAGAGTTTTGGTAATCGCATCTTATCTGGCCTTGGCCATTTTTCACCACTCAAAGAAGGTATCAGAGAAAAAGGAGGAAATTGTAGTGACTAATAGGAAGCTTCCAATGCCCTTGCTCGGTGCAGGCTTAGCCATTGGAATTCGCCTTGCTGCTAAGTGGGCCGGGTACCGGCATTTGACATGGATGATAGTATGAACGCTAAGAATACCATTATATGCCTGTTCGACTGCAAAGGCAGTGGCATTGTGCCTTCTATGTCATCTCTCTGTAATTTCGATCGGCGTAGTGATCCTGTTTTGTTTTTCCTATTTTTGACTTCAATGTTTCATATCGGTTTACTAGAATTCAATTCAGTGATTCATCAACGTCAGAAATTTCGAGTGGCTAGGCTTCCATACAATTCAATCTGAAAATGTTTCTTGCAGAATTCGATTTTTCTGTCTTCTCATCTATGGATATTCGCAAAGGAAAATACTTGGCTCGTTATGTAGTTTTAGCCGAGTTCAGTTTTGGTACCTATAGTTTTGTCAAAACAAATTAATCCTTTGTAGTTTACCAACTATTACAATTTAAAGACAATAGCAAGTTGTCGATTTCTTCATCATAAGTTGCTCGCGAGTGAAGGACTCATAGTGAGGGAAAATTAGACTTCATTGAAGTGTAAAAATGCCACACGCAAGCCTCTCACGTGTTGATCTTGTACAAGTCGCGGAATTACGTTATTGTCCCTGAATTGCAAATTCGCAAAGAAAAATGCTAGCAACTTTTGCACTAACTTAATGACATATGTGTTTTCTTATACAAAAATGAAGACATTTAGTTCCTTTAAAATAATATTTTTTGTTTTCCATGTTTAACTCTTAGTCAAAAGTCTTAAATTTTTTGTTTTTTGTGTAAACAAATGATACATAATATTTTGAAAAGTGAAAAAATGCAAATGCAAAAGGTTTCTATCACTCTCCATTTGCAAAATGAGTTTTAAAAGGACCAAAACGCAACGACCGAAACTGAGAGGACCGAAATGGAACTTCGTTAAAACTACAGGAACAAAAATCATAGAAATGTGTCACTCGTATTGATGATATTTATCTTCACTTGAAAGTTGAAAGTGAGAGATCTTAAGTTCGAATCTGATGATGGCGGATTACCAAATTAGTATGCTTATTGTGTGATTTAGCCGAACTTTTATTCCCCGTATCAAAATATTGATATACTAAAAAAATAATAATAATAATAGAGGGGTAAAATGGTAATAAGAAGCCTATGAGACCAATGAATCACGAAACGACGCCGTTAGCACCGTAACAAGTGTGAAGAAAAAGCCCTAGGGTTTCTGTAGGGCTTTGGATGCCTATATAAACCAGCCTCTATGATTTTTGTCCCTGAATTGCAAATTCGCAAAGAAAAATGCTAGCAACTTTTGCACTAACTTAATGACATATGTGTTTTCTTATACAAAAATGAAGACATTTAGTTCCTTTAAAATAATATTTTTTGTTTTCCATGTTTAACTCTTAGTCAAAAGTCTTAAATTTTTTGTTTTTTGTGTAAACAAATGATACATAATATTTTGAAAAGTGAAAAAATGCAAATGCAAAAGGTTTCTATCACTCTCCATTTGCAAAATGAGTTTTAAAAGGACCAAAACGCAACGACCGAAACTGAGAGGACCGAAATGGAACTTCGTTAAAACTACAGGAACAAAAATCATAGAAATGTGTCACTCGTATTGATGATATTTATCTTCACTTGAAAGTTGAAAGTGAGAGATCTTAAGTTCGAATCTGATGATGGCGGATTACCAAATTAGTATGCTTATTGTGTGATTTAGCCGAACTTTTATTCCCCGTATCAAAATATTGATATACTAAAAAAATAATAATAATAATAGAGGGGTAAAATGGTAATAAGAAGCCTATGAGACCAATGAATCACGAAACGACGCCGTTAGCACCGTAACAAGTGTGAAGAAAAAGCCCTAGGGTTTCTGTAGGGCTTTGGATGCCTATATAAACAACACCAACCCACCCGCTTCCTCTTCATACTCTCCAGCCTCTATCCAAGCTTTCGCAGAATTCCCCCAATTCATACAGTAGAAACCCTAATCTCTAATTTGTGCAATTTCCAGTTTTAACCACGCACGATGCACCCCGGGCTTCTCTGAGAGTACTTTCACTGAAGAAGAAAGCCCCAATGGTCGTGCTAAAACGTCGCCGTCAAGTGTTGCAGTTTAGCCTCGCTTTACTCCACGGCTTTTCTGTGTCAAATCGACCGCCACATCTCCCACAAAAACCCTAAATCTTTTCATCAATTTTCAGTAGCGTACGATCCGATGCGCCTCGACACACCTTAAGCCTGTTTTTGAACAATCTCCGAAAACAGAGCTAGTCATGGAGGCGCAGATCCTATTGCGGTGTCAAACGTGGGGGTTTTTCTCTTCTCATAGTTTTGCCTCTAAAAACGTCCGCTAAATTTTCAGAATTTCGATCTGTTATGTATTTTGATATTGTTTTGTGAAATTTTGGCGATGATTACAAATTATCCGCGCTTCTGAGAGCAATCGATGAAGTAGAATGTGATAATCAATGGTTGAATTTCTTGATATGAGCCATTTAAGTTTTTGATTTGCTGATTTGGGTCGGTGATATTTTTGGGTTTTGTTGATTAATGTTGGCGGTGATGACTAAATTTTACAGCTTTATGCCAGTTCTGCTTCAGAAAATTCGTGATTGAGAGAGCTGTTTCATACTCTGAGCCTTCAGTTTATTAATTTGATTTTGTTTTTCTTTAGTGTTTTGGATTTCTGTGTTTTTGGTGGTGCCGATGACGATTCAATCCGCTTGTTTGAGGTGCAGTGGAATTGAGACCCTGTTTACAGGGAGAACCCCTCAGTGACACTGCATTCATATGAATTCAATGGATTTAGCTGAGGTTTTAATCTTACTTACCCTCCTTGTAAAATGTTTTTGTGTTACTTGTTTGGTTTGTTGTCTGTCTATGATTAGATTTGTTGTTTGGTATGTTATTAATTGATTGTGATTGGTGTGTTAAATTTTGGTGATGTCTTCTTGTCCTTTGGCCTGTGATGATTCAATCCGCTTTTTTGAGGTGTAGTGGAGCTGAGACCTTGTTTACAAGGAGAACCCCTCGGCGAAGCTACATTGCATATGAAATCAATGGATTTAACTGAGGTTTTAAGTCTTCATTACTGCATCAAAATCCATTGTTTCTGTGCTAATGGCTTGGTTTGCTGAATAATGTTTATTATTTTTGTTAGGATTAAGTATTGTTTAGGCGTCAATGATGTTACAATCCAACGTGTTTGAGGAGTAGCGGAAGTGAGAACCTGCTTTTGTGCAGGTCGAACCTACTCGTGGAAACTACATCCCTTGACAGAAACGATGTAGCTGAGGCATTGCAGTCATATGGTTTTGTTATGTATTGTGTTTAATTGTTGGTTTTGAGTTTCAACTATACCCTTATCCTTTTTCGATCAGGTGAAGGGTCTGAAATAACTCATAAATTAGAGTGTTGTCATCAGCATCATCTTGTGTTACTGGTCAAGACTGGAGTTAAACAACAACACTACATCTAATTGCACTAATTTTGTTTCATTTATTTTTTGATTTGTGTTAAATTTTATCTAATTTTTTGTTGGAATTGACTCTTGTGATGAATTGATATGTATGCTCAATAGCTGCTGCTGTATACTTCTATTAACTGAATTGGGGTTAAGTAATTAATATAGTGATAATAATTTCTATAACCTACAGGCCTCACCCTGTCTCCATTGGGGAGTACCCTAAAAAAAGGAACCCTTCCTCTCCCAGCGTTTTCGGGTACGTCCGTGAATTCTCTTTGTCAATGGTTTTGGTTTTTGAATTGTTCCCAGCTGATCTTTTTGTTGTTGGAGGATTTAGATTTTGTAGTGAGTAATTAGTTTGCAGGAGTACCAAGTGGTACAAACAAGCATGGAAACAAGAGGATGATTGGTGGAGAAAATGGCGCGTGGAAATCATGACCTTGGATTCGTCATGTGTGGATGGGTTTATGTTGTACAATCTTTTGACTGGAATTCAGACCAAAAACAGACATGTAATTGTAAATGAATGTTGTTGTAAGCTGTGTGGAAAATTGGAATTTGAAAATTATCAACGTATCTCTGTTTTTGTATCAATTTTAGTTGGTAAAACTTGTATGATTATTAACATCAGTTAAGCTCAAAACCTCTTGAACCGAGGGATTCATGCTCGTAGCCTCATTGAATAACACATGAAATAACTCTTTGAAATAACAGTAATACTGTTATTTGTGTCAATGTTCAAGCTCTTTCCCTACATTGAATTTAATGGATTTAACAGAGGTCTTAATCATAATTACCGTCCCAGTCAAATGTTTTTGTTCAATTGTTTGGTTTGTTGTCTAAGATTAGATTAGTTGTTTGTTATGTTGTTAATTGATTGTGATTGTTGTGGCCTGTGATGATTCAATCCGCCTTTTATAGGTGTAGTGGAGCTGAGACCTTGTACATTTAATTCGACACCAGTGGTTTTTAATTCGACATCAGTCAATCCATGTCGGTTTAAACTGACGCTAACTAAGTACCCATATTTAAATCGACGCCAACTAAGTACCCATATTTAAACCCCTCACTTTCCCATTTCATCTGTGCTTTCATTTCTCCCCCAATTTCAGTCTTTCTTCTTCTCCTTCCCCATTTCATCTGTGCGTCCCTTTCTTCCTCCTTTTCAGTTTTTCCTCTTCTCCTTCCCGATTTGCTATGGATCACCATTTTGAAGATCAACATTTTGAGGAACTCCAATCTGAACATTGTCTACAGGGGAAAGCTCGACAACGGCCGCTTAATCGCCGTTAAGCGATTCAACAAGCTCGCCTCGTCGGACAATTGCCAATTCCTAGTCCGTTAAACTCAACCCTCCCTCCACTTTTCAACATTTTGATAAATCTCAGTCTAGATTTTTGTTTTCAGAAAAAATAAGGAAAGATTGAATCTTTTTTTGTTTGCAGGAGGAGGCGAGGGTGGCGCTGTATCTTGCTCAGGCTCTTGACTTTGCAGCAGCAAAGGTCGTGCCTTGTACTATGATCTCAATGCCTACAGGGTTTTGTTTGATTAGGGAGGTTATAAAGTCTTCTGCTTTTCGAATTGGATTGAATTTTTTGGGGGTTAATCTGTTTGTTTGTTTTTGTTTGTTTGTTTTTTTGTTGTTATAATCGAGTAGAAGGGAATGCAACACAAGGACTTTCCGCGAGGATGTGAATCGCATGTTTATCTGTTTTTATTATTTACCATTTGGGTTTTTGATTTTGTACACAGGATGGTAATCCCAGGTTGTCAGGCTTTAGTCCAAAAGCGTTTATCCTTTAATTAACAGACATTTAACGAAAAAATTACTTTTGGACTAAATTTGCTAACGGACTAGCACCATGAGGGTTTAAATCCTAATTTTTTTACCATGAGGGCTATCTTCCGATTACCTTGTCACCACAAGGACCATTTATCCGATTAGGCCTAAAATTGTTTGTTTTTTCATTGACATATGGTGAGATTTATTTTTATATATTTTTTTTTTAATTATTATTAATTAAAAATGGAAAAATAATTTTTTTATTATTAATATATTTGGTGTCGCTTATGGACGACATCAGCTAAGTATTTTATTTATCGAGATGGAAGGTAATGTCGGTAACGACCGACAGTAGCTCGACTATTTTATTTATTTAACTGAGGTGATGTCGGTTTGGACCGACAGTAAGTGTGATATTTTAATTGCTTTTTTGTTAGTTAATGTCGGTTTGGACCGCCATTATATCAGATTTCCATGTCGCTTTTAAGCGACGTAAGCACCGATGTCGCTTTTAAGCGATGCTGTTATTCTTTTTTATTTTATAATACTTTCCTTCTTGGTGGCGGATTAAGGGGGATAAGCGACGCTAGTACCCTTTTTGTGACGGTCGTATTGGAGTCGGTTTCACCATGCGACATTGCACGATTTAATGTCGGATTTTTACCAAAAATCCAACAGTAAGTGGTGTTTTTTGTCGGTTTTATAGTGCCACTGATATCCCCTTTTGTAGTAGTGTTTTTTTGTGCTAATTGCTTGTTTTGTTGATTAGGGTTTATTGTTTTGTTAGGATTAAGGAATGTTTAGGTAGGTGTCAGTGATGTTACAATCCAACGTGTTTGAGGCGTAGCGGAAGCGAGAACCTGCATTTGTGCAGGTAGAACCTACTCATGGAAACTACATCCCTTGACAGAAACGATGTAGCTGAGGCATTGGAGTTTTATGTTTTTGTTGTGCATTGTGCTTAAATGTTAGGTTTTGAGTTTCAACTATACCCCTTATCCTTTTTCGATCAGGCAAAGGGTCTGAAATAACTCATAAATTAGAGTGTTGTCATCAGCTTCATCTTGTGTTTACTGATCAAGACTGGAGTTAAACAACAACACTACATCTAATCGCACTAATTTTGTTTCTTTTATTTTTTTGATTCATTTTAAATAGATTTTTTTAGCCAAAATGATTCCGAGATTTGCTTAACTTCTCACTTTTGTTTTTGAGATTTGAAATCAATAGAAGAGAGTGAAAAAATATGTTAAATAAGGATTAAAATAACAAAATTACCCTTAATATAATAAACAATAGGAGAAAATGATTTGACAAAAATTAGGAGCATTTTGTCATTTTATTCATATGTTATTGAGATTTTTTATGTAATGATCAAAATGATTGATTGTGGACAAATTTAAAGATCAATTTTATTGATTTCAAATTTCAAAGATCAAAGTGAAGAATTATACAAATAATTTCTAAAACTTGACGGCACTATCCTGTCTCTACTAGGGAGTACCCTAAAAAAGGAACCTTTCCTCTCCCCAGCCACATGGACCCCTTCCTACCTGTTGTTCCTAGCGGTTCCGGGCCGAGCTGGAGTTAAAAAAATAGGCAGGTAAATTCCTGTTATCTTTTTTCGTTGGAGGATTTAGATTGTGTAGTGATTAATTACTTTGCAGGAGAATCCAGTGGTACAAACAAGGATCGAAACAAGAAGATGATTGTTGGAGAAAATGGCATGGGGAAATCATTACCAGTTGTTCAAATTCCTTATGATCTGCAACTGAAACAAGTTCTTGCTAATGGTAAAAAATGGAGCTTTGAATGTCGGGGCTATTCTTATTTTACTTGAGGGGTTTGAATTAGCCCCTCTCGGTAAGGTAGAGTGGTTCGCTTGAGTTGCCCAACCGCCCCTTAGCCCGATGCTCATGACGTGCTACGGAATCTCCACCGTGCCGTGGTGTAACACCCACCCCCATTTATAAAATTATATTTGTGTAATTTCCCCTAAATATTTCTGAATCTATCAATTTCATCATATTTGTCTACCAAATCAGGATCCAAAGCCTTGGATTCTTTTCTTCCTCACACTACCACGTGGCAGCACCCCAAGCAATTTCTTATTCTTCTCTCTCTGTCCCCCCCGGTGAACTCCTTCTTTCTTTTTCTTTTCTGTTTCTTGTTTGTCCTGTCTCTCTCCCTGTCGGCTCTCTCTCACATCTCTCTTCTCTCCCTCTTCTCTGCACCGCACGCATGCACCCATCTCCCTGCGCGAGGAAGTCCATCGTCATCACCATCTCGTCCTTCTCTCTCCCTTTGTCCCGTGCTGCGAACCTAGAAACCCGGAAAGGAACTCCGGCGAGTTTCTATTTTTTCCGGTTAGGTAAGTCCCTAATTATCTCTATTTCGTCCTTGAACCTTGCTGGAATGAGTTTTAAATGAGTGTATTTCGTGTTTTTGGGAGGTTGTAGGACGAATTCAAGCCGGGTGTAAGCACACCCAACTCCGGCGACCTCGGGGGTTTTTTCGGCCATCTCCGGCCGTTCTACGACGAAAGGAAGGTATAAAAACACTCCCCTCGTCTTGTTCTTCGTTTTGGTACCTGGATCAGAGTCTAGGGTTGTGTGTGGTAGTCGGCCGGAGTTGTGAAGCTCCGGTGGTTGTGCTCCGGCGAGGCCAGGCCTCCCAGGCCGGTTCCAATGGCAAGCGGGCCTTAGGCCCGAGTGGGGAGTCAAGCCCAAAAGCCCTAGCCCAAATTCCTTTTAATTGTTTTAGTTAATTGTTAGTTGTTTTAGGACAAAAGGCCTTCGGGCCATTAGAATTAAGCCCCTAGCCCAAGCCCAAAACCTTTTTAGGTTTTATTATTTTTCTGAATTAGAGTTGGGGCCCTTTTGGGCCATTTTCTGTTAAGGGGGCTGAAAGCCCTTTCCCCAAAACCCTTAAGGCCTTTCGGCCCAGCCCAAAACCCCAAGCCCAGTTGACTTTGACCTTTGACCTGTTGACTGTTGACTCGGTCAACTGTTATAGTTGACGTTGACTTTGACCGGTCAAAGGTCAACGTTGACTTTGTGAGTTGACTTTTCGGGGTTTCGTTCAGGACCTTTCCTAGGCTAATTTCGACGTCCTGGACCCGTTTTTGAAGTCTGTTTCCCAAATTCAATCGTTTGAATAAAGTTTGACCAAAGGTACTCCTTTATGTGAATAGGTGCAATTATTAACAGTGATTCCGTTATACCTTTTTGGTATAGCTTTGCACCATCAGTGTACGGTGAGTGGACCCCTTCAAAAGCATGTTTTAATAATAGAATTGCATACATGAAAAACATGATTTAATACTTATGTTTTATGAAGTACTTTATGAGATTACATGCTTACTAAGGCTAGATTGAATTAATACATAGGAATAACAACGTTCAAGCCCTTTCCATACACGGAATTTTCTACGAAGAACAATGTTCAAGCCCTTTCCATACATTGAATTTTCTACATAGACTTGTTCATACAGAGGAAGAACAACGTTCAAGCCCTTTCCATACATTGAATTTTCTGCAGACTTGTTCATACAGAGGAAGAACAACGTTCAAGCTCTTTACATACATCGAATTTTCTACAAAGACTTTGTCCATATGTGAAGGGTTGAATAATTGACTTAGTTGACTTGAAATGATCACCACAAAAAGGGCATATAGGTTGAGCTCCAGTAACATCCATACGGTAAATCTTTGCCTGCCTGCTGAATTCCTTGTACAGCCATGAATACCAAACCAAACCCAAAGTTCGTGTTTTCCGTTATTTTAGTGTGTGTATTTCTCGAGTCCCATGTTTCCTTGCAGCTGACAGCTCAGCGACACTCTCCGGGCGATCAAACCATTGCTTCTGCTGGGGTGGGATGTTTGAGCTAGGTTTCTTCAAACCAGGTCAGCTTTCAAACTACTATATAGGCATATGGTACTCCAAGCAAGTAGTATCTGAGATGACTGTTGTTTGGGTAGCAAATAGGGAAACACCAGTTTCTGATATATTTTCTTCGGCATTGAGCATCTTAGATGGTAATTTAGTTCTCTTTGACGAGTCCAAAACCCCGGTTTGGTCAACAAATTTAAACTCCACCACCAATTCTGGTTCTGTACAAGCAGTTCTTTTGGACAGCGGAAACCTTGTCTTGATAGCCGGCTCTAGTAATAATACATCAGAGCCTTTATGGCAAAGCTTTGATCATCCAACCCATGCTTTGCTACCAGGAGGTAAACTTGGATTCAACAAAATTACAAATCATACCCAATTTCTCACTTCATGGAAGAATTTGGAGGATCCTGCACCAGGTCTTTACTCTCTTGAGCTAGCTCCGGATGAAAGCAATTCATATATCTTATTGTGGAATAGGTCTAGACAGTATTGGACCAGCGGACCATGGAATGAAAGTTTGCGTAATTTCAACATGGTTCCTGAATTGAGGCTATTTAATGACTTCAATTATAGTTTTGTTACGAATGAGAACGAAAGTTATCTCACATATTCTATTAACAATCCTAAAATTGTAACTCGAGGCTTGATGTCTGCCTCGGGACAGGTTCAGCAACTAACATGGTTGGAGGCTTCCAAGCAGTGGAATGTGTTTTGGTCTCAACCAAGACAGTGTGATGTTTATGCTTTTTGTGGGGCTTTCTCCAGTTGCAAACCCACATCCTCGAACTACTGCAAATGTTTGAAGGGCTTTGAGCCAAACCGACAGAGTGATTGGGACTTGCAGATTTATTCCGGTGGATGTTCAAGAAGAACCAGTGTTAAGTGTGGGAATGCTACGGGAGACGGGTTTCTAGAAAAAAATAGCAAGTCCTTCCTTGAAAATAGCCAATATGAACCAGCTCCTAGTTTCGAAAGTTGTAGATCAGCCTGCTTAAATGAATGCCAGTGCACTGCTTATGTTTATGACAGCAGCAATGGATGTTCAATATGGCATGGAGATGTCTTGAATCTGCAAGAATTCGAAGCAAATGATGGTGATGGAAGAATTTTATACATCAAAGCTGCAGCTTCCGACATTGAGAAAAAACGTAATAAGAGAATGATTATTCATGTCTACTTGGAGCCGTTAATCTTGATGTTGTCCCGATGATCGTTTTCTTCTCTTTGCAGGTGTAATTAAGTTGTCCCCTTTGATTGCAATAGTCTCAACAATCACAGGTTTGCTTGTTGTCATTTTGGGCTATTTCTTATGGAAGAAAACATTGGGAACAAAAAGTGAAGTTGCTGCTGGAGGTGAAATGAATGATGCAGAACTGCCGATCTTTGGTTTAAAGGCTATAATAGCTGCTACAAACAACTTCGCTGAAGCTAATAAACTCGGAGAGGGAGGATTTGGCCCTGTCTACAAGGTGACACTTCCACTTTGTACTCTAAATACTAATACATTTGTCTCCTCATGCACACTCCTTGTTTATTTATGACCCTTGGATTGAATAATTTCAAGGAGATGAATCACAGGACAAAGTACACATGGGTTTGCAGAAGGAGAAAAAAGGGTGTCTGAAAATAATTTCTCCTTTCATAAACATGACCGTAAAAGGGAATCTTCTTCTCAACACATTGATTGCTTGTCCACTAGCCTTTCATGAGTACTTCCATTAGACATGCCTTTCATAATTTTGTCTAGTCCACTAATTGTCCATTAGTCTTTCTTTACTATTTCCATTAGTTGTTGTCCGCTCCTTTGGCTCCTATAAAGAGCATCTCCATTGTAAATCATGATAGTGAAATATAACATATATTCTATACTCACCTTAATTTGGTATCAAGAGCAACAAAGCTCCATCGAGCAATTTTTTTTTCCCGATCCTCATGGCTGAATCCACCAACTCACCCCCTTGCCCACTCCTGTCACCATTAACGCTGCTGCTCAGTTACCTCTAAAACTCACACCCACCAACTTTCCTTCCTGGCGAGCTCAATTCAATGCCCTGCTTCTTGGGTATGACCTGATGGGTTACATTGATGGATCAAAACCACGTCCTGCTGCCTCCTCTACTGTGTGCTACACCTTCTGGATTCGTCAAGATCAGCTGCTACTACATGCTATCTTAGCTTCTGTCTCTGAACAGATTATATCTCTCATTTCCTCCTCTAAAACATCCAAGGAGGCTTGGGACAAGCTCACCAAGCTCTATGCCAACAAAACACGCTCTCGGGTTCTCAACCTCAAAGAGCGTCTTACGTTCATGCGTCGTGATACACAACCTGTGTCAGTTTTTCTACAAGCTATCAAAGCTATCATTGATGAGCTTGCCATCATTGATTCTCCACTCTCCGACGATGATGTTGTTCTACACGTCCTCAATGGTGTTGGACCTGCCTTCAAAGAAATCGTTGCCGTTGTTCGAGCTAGCGATACCTCCATCTCCTTTGAAAATCTGTATGACAAACTCATTGAACATGAAACTTTCCTCCAACGGGATGCACCACCAGCTGCTGTTACTCCTATGACTACCCTTGTTGCTCAAGCTCCCCGCTCCTTCCAACGTGACTTCAGGGCCACACAAGCCTCCCAACAACGTCCAACAAATACCATCTACAACTCTAACCGTGCTAACCACCACAACTCCAATCATCGTCGTTCTACTATGGGGTATCGTGGTTTTTGTCAATGGTGTGGTACTCAAGGGCATAGTGCAAAACGCTGCCCTCAACTTTCTTCCGCTCCACCCACGGTCAACCACACCACTATCCGCCCCTCAACATCATCTCCTTGGCTGCTCGACTCGGGTGCCTCTCACCATGTCACTTCTGACTCCAGGAACATCCCGGACTCCACTACCTATGATGGTCCTGATCAGATTGTTATTGGTAATGGAACAGGTTTAAGTATTACACATGTTGGTTCCACATCACTCTCTTCTTCCTCTACCACCCCATTTCACTTAAATGATGTCCTGTGTGTTCCTTCCATTTCCCGTAATATTATTTCCATTGCCAAATTTAATAGACAAAATGCCACCTCTATTGAATTTTTTCCTGATTCCTTTCTTGTCAAGGATCTCAACACGGGAGCGGCACTTCTTCGAGGCCCGAATAAGAACGATACATATGAGTGGCCGTGCTTGATGCCTCAAAAACAAGTTATGAGCAGTGTGATGGACTCCTCCAATGTGTGGCACCGTAGGCTTGGTCACCCCAACCATCGAACCTATCTTCAAATCCAACGTACCTCCTCCATTCCTATGTCTTCAACTCATTCTGTTTGCACTTCTTGTCATTGCAATAAGAGCCACAAGCTCCTGTTTGGTCATTCTACGCTTGTTAGTAAGCGTCCCCTTGAACTAATTTATAGTGATGTATAGGGTCCTGCTCCCTATTTATCTACTGATGGTTTTTCATACTATGTTATCTTTGTCGATCATTTCACGAAATATATTTGGTTTTATCCCATGAAACACAAATCCGATGTTTTCTCAATCTTCACAACCTTTAAAGCTCTTGTAGAAAACTACTTCCACACCAAAATAATCACCTTCTACTCTGACGGAGGAGGAGAATATGTTAAACTCAAACATTTTCTTTCCACAAATGGCATCACTCACCTCACCACTCCTCCACAAACTCCTGAACACAATGGTGTTACTGAACGCCGCCACCGCCATGTTGTCGAAACAGGGTTAACCCTTCTCCACCAAGCATCCTTACCCCTAACTTATTGGTCATATGCTTTCAAAACTGCTGTGTATCTTATTAATAGGATGCCCACTCATGTTCTCAATAATATCTCTCCATACAAAGCTCTCTTTGGTGATCTTCCTAACTACATTAAGCTTCGTGTGTTTGGTTGCTTATGTTTCCCTTGGTTAAGACCCTATAATTCCAACAAGCTTCTTCCTCGATCTCGTCCATGTCTCTTTCTTGGTTACTTCTCTACTCAAAGTGCTTATCTATGTCTTAATCTCCCTTCCCGTCGTATGTTTGTTTCCCATCACGTTCGATTTGATGAAAACACTTTTCCTTTTTCTTCTCGTGACTCCGTCATCCCTTCAGTTCCTTCCCCCGACTCCACTGCATGGTCTGCTGTCACAGCCGTCATCTCCATTCCTGCTCACATTGCTGACGTGCCACCAGTTCCATCACACACCTCTTCTCAGCATGCTGCCACTCAAACGCCTTCGGAGGTCTCGGAGTTGTGTCTCTCCCCTGCACCATCACCATCTGCGACTGCTCACCCCCCATCCCCACATCATCTCATACCCACATCTATCATTCCTTTACCCCCACCACCACCACCAAATAATTTCAACCATCACCCCATGACCACTAGAGCCAAAAACAATATCTTTAAACCTAAACAACTTTGCACTGCCACCAAACACCCACTTCCTTCTCCCATTGAACCAACATGTGTTTCTCAGGCTATCAAAGATCCTCTTTGGCGTGCATCAATGTCCGACGAGTTCAATGCGTTAATCCGCAATGGCACATGGGAGCTTGTTCCTCCTCAACCTTCACAGAATCTTATTGGGTGCAAATGGGTCTTCCGCATCAAAAGACATTCTGATGGCAGCATTGATAGGTACAAAGCACGCCTTGTTGCTAAAGGCTTTCACCAACGTCCTGGCGTGGATTTCTTAGACACCTTCAGTCCAGTTGTCAAACCCATCACCATCCGTATTGTTCTTCATTTGGCTCTCACTCATGGTTGGCCTCTTCGTCAATTAGACGTGAACAATGCCTTT